GTCTGGCTTCTTCATTGTTGTACCAGAAAGGCTAGTTGTGGGTGTCATCCAGAGTAAGCACGATTGAAATACAGACACATAGTCAATATTCATAACTTCAGATACAAAAATGATACATGCATACAAATAGGATACTCATATTCAGCAAATCATAACTTTTCCAATGACACCTCATGTCAAGGCTGAATCCCCACTCTGTCACTTTGAGTACAGAAGTGGGGCCCGCAAGGATTTTGAAAATTAATACTGGCCGCTCCAGGCTTGTATTAAACTCCCAAGGTTACAGCTTTTCTCTGACCTTGGCTTGGTAAACGCTGCCACCACCCAAATGCAAAAAAAACCCTTGGACTCAGGAAGGAGCACTGGGGAATTCCTCCCTGTGGGGTACCCTCAAGCCCTTTCACCCCCCTCCGGGGAAGAGCTGAGAAAGAAAACAAAGGAAATTAGCTGTTGCTACCAGCTAATCAAACAACACGTGCACAAACCTCTTAGGACACCAAAAATCCAATCCTGTTCTTAAAAAGGGTAAATGTTATTAAAAACAAAAAGGAAGAAACTACATCTGGAACTTAGGCATTTTGCTAAATCGTAAAAGAAATAATTACAAAAATTAAGCATCAAGATAGCTCTCTTGAGGTTCAGCTTAAAGGTTGCAAGCAAAACAAAAGCATCTGGGGTTAGCACAGAGGAGATCCACAAGCCAAAATAAAGAAATAAACCTAATCGTGTCTATTTAAACATGCCCTGTCCAATGATTTCTTCTAGGTATGGAAGATGAATTTTTATACCTGGTTCAAGCCTTACACAGCATTGCAGCTTAAAGCATTGCTGCTCTGTGTCTCCTCCGGAGAACAACAGACAAAGAGAAAGTTTCTTTTCCAATTTTAAAAAGTTCTAGCTTCCCATTGGCTCTTTTGGTCAGGTGCTCACTTTTTCTTTTTCTTTTTCTTTACCTGGGGGACTTTTTAACCCTTTACAGGTAAAGCAAGTAGAGAACAGCTACCAAGAGGGATTTTACAGCTAACTGGCTGGCTGGGTGTCCATCAAAGGGAGCTACCCCCCCACATACTTCATTTATCACACTTCACATGACCCATCTGGTACAAAATGCACCATAATTATACCATAATCATATCATAATAATATTACTGTGAAGAATATGGGGTGCAGTGTCACACCCCGTTCCTCCTGCCCTACAGAGTTCCAGAGAATTTAAGGTCCATCAGGATCACCTGCTCTGACTTCTCCAGAGACCCTCATCCAGGTGCCCCGTCATCTTGCCCAGTAACTGGTGTTTGCCTGGGCGCTGAGCCTAGCTCTTTCCAACCCAGGCCTCTAGGAACACCTGGCCTAGGTGCTGGAAATAGGGGTGCTGGGGATGTTGCAGCACCCCCTGGCTTGAAGTAGTAATAACAACTCAAACACATGGGTTCCACCTTCAACACCCCCACTATAAACATTGCTTCACTGACACCTGGTTTCATAGGAAGCGAATTCACCGATTTCCGTGGTCGAGGAAGGACGGTTGAACAAAGAAGATGATTGAGTTCATAATCTCTCATAGCTGGAAATCGTCCATCAGCAACTGCAGAACTCATCGGTCTGCCAAGCCTGGCAACAGCGACCACTAATTAGTCTCTGCACGTTTCTGTCTTAAATTAACGAGCATAGGCAAAGCGACGATTGGGTTACCAGAATTCAAATGATCCAAGCTAAAATTCAATAGCATTCGAAACCGCAGTGCAACTGAAATCTCAAACAGGGTTGAGACTGCCAAAGTATACTGGTTCTCCCTCCGCCTGCATGGGCTTCAGATCCCAGATAACAGGTCCACAGGAATGCCACAGAGTCCTGCTGCCTGGTTTCCCTTATGTGTCTTTACATCTCTGTGGATTTTAGTGGATTTGCCAGGATCGTTTTGCATGGAATGGGTCAACTCAGCAACAGCCTTAATGTCAGGGTCCCGCAAAGCTGAGAGTGTATTTACCAGCTGGCTGACATGTTCCCTCCAGCGTGCCACACACTCCACCTCTGCACTGAGTAGCTGATCAGAACTGGAGTCGACCACACCAAATGAAAGCTCTTTCTTGGGGGTGAG